AGCCCCGACCTCGGTAATTCACTCGCTCGTGTATCAAGTTGACAATTTAATTAATTACACATATGATTAATTAATATTAAATTAACGGCCAACAGCTACACTCCCGGGAGTGCGAACCAACAGCCGCTATATATATACGATGCTAGGCTTCAAACACACGAACTATTAGAAACATATATCATATATGCACTTTTATTATACTCATGCCGCATGACACTGTAATCATTCCATTCTCTCTTAGACAACTGTAATGACACTGTAATCATTCCATTCTCTCTTAGACTTCAATACCAGAATTTGCATCTTTAGCTCGGCGCTGATAACGGTGAGGCGGGGCTTCGCGGCAATAAATATATAGCTGCGTTTGTGGAAAGAAATTCAGACGATAAAATCTTACAGGAGTAAATAAAAGTTAAGAATATTATATGAACAAATTAAACGTTTGATACTCAAAGTCGTATAACATAAACAAAATTCTGATCACAAGAGCACCCAAACATATTTATCCTGAAGAACAAAATCTGTGACGGCAGATGAATCGCTCGCGAAAGTGAGGAAAATAAACGTCAGAGTCCATCTGTTTTTGCGGCTATAAATTGCTGTCATTTTTCTGATGTAAAATTTTAACACACAATATGATCGATTATGGAATGATCGAGGGTCGAATTAGGTACTTCAGTTTCGTGTTACATCAAATGTTCAGACGGTACCGCAAAGTAATATCACCTTTTATTGCACTTTAGTACTGAAAACTTAATTACAAACTGACAGCATTTCGATTATTCTTCAAAACTTTTCATCATTTCCTTCCACAGTAGAAAAAACACTCATTTTACGAATTTCCTACAGGAGTGGATGCAAATGATAGAAGTTATGATTGTTAAAATTAATACTTTGCTGAATGCAACACTTACTTTAGATGGATGGACATTTTAATTAAAACTCCACACGTGCACCAGAAGGCGCGTAGTTGCAGGCGCTGACGCTCGTTATCTTCCCCGGCCTGATGAGCGGCCTCCTGCTTATCTCGCCGCGCAGCTCAGGCGCTGCAGGTAACACAGCGGCAGGGCTCGGAAATGACTCATCATCATCCTGGTGGTTGACATGACACAAGACATTTGATAAGAATCTTTATATTAAAAACTGCTGTATTTTCCTGTAATTTCAGATCCTATCTCACCTGTTTAGTGGGCCGCAGGCTGGGGGCGCAGGTCGCCTGTCTGGTGCGACGCAGGCTGGGGCGCAGGTCGCCTGTCTGGTGTGACGCAGGCTGGGGGCGCAGGTCG